GGGCGGGTCCGGGAGGAGGGGCTGTCCCAGTGGGCGGGGCTAGAGGACGGGGCGGGGCCTGGGCGTGGTCGCTGGGGCGGCCCGAAACACACGTGGGCGGGGCCAACTGGGGGAGGGCTATCTGCTGGTGGGCGTGGCTACCGGTGACCAGGGCGTGGCCGGGGTTAGAGCAGAGATTGCTGTTAAAGGGTCGGGCATTCCTAGAAGTGGCAAAACCAGCAGGAGGAGAGGCAGATATGCTTGGGCAAGTGGCGTTCTCAACAAAGAAAGTAGCGCAGTTAAGTGGCCCGGAGTGGGATTATCAAGGGGGACTAGGCTACCTGGGCCCGTCAGTGGGCTCTGCAGAGGGAGTAGTAGCCTGGCCACGGGGGTGGAGCCATAAACCAAAGGGGCGGGGCCGGAGCAAGTGCGCTATCTGGAAGGGGTGGAGTCTAGGAGGGGCGGAGCTATCTTGAAGGGGCGGGGTCCAGGCTGGGGCGGAGCCATCTAGGAGAAGGGGCTGCTCCACGGGGAATAATCAAGGAGGGGGCCGAGCAACCTGACAGAGGAGCGGAGCTGGAAAGGAAAGGGCGGGATCACGTTTGGAAGAATCTGCGAAAATGCAGTTTTCTTGGGAGGGGCTGCGGAATGCCCGCTTAGCTAGGCAGTCACTGAGGACCGGGAGCCGGGTCAGTCCGTAAGAGGCGGGATTGGCGCCTCGGGGCGGGGCTGGATGAAGGGGCGGGGCCCGCTGGCAGAGGCGGGGCCAGGGTAGAAAGGTGAGACCGCGGGGTCCGGATGTCCCTTCCCTCTGCAGATCTGCCCCCCGGCTCCCCGCAGTGCTCGGTCGAAGAGAGTCTCGGGGACCGTAGCCTCCGCTTCCGCTGCTCGTGGCCGGGCGGGGTCCCTGCCGCCTCCCTGCAGTTCCAGGGTCTTCCCGAAGGCGTCCGCGCGGGCCCGGCTCCCTCTGTGCTGCAGGCGACCGTCCCCGCCCACCCCCGGCTCAGCGGCGTGCCGGTCACCTGCCTCGCTCGCCACCTGGTGGCCACGCGCACCTGCACTGTCACCCCGGGTGAGGGCTGCGTTCCTCTGCCATAGCAGAGGAGGGGGACCCTCTCTTTGGTCCGTTGGCGTTTGTGGGACTGGGGGTGGGGTGGGCGCTTCCTTACTCGAGGAAAGGGGCGGAAGCTAGAGAAAGAACAAGGCTTTTCCTATACCCGAGGGTCGGGAGGGGCAGGGACAGGGCTTTTATTCCTGGACCCAGAAGGACTGTCACTTTCACATGTATTCAGAGAAATATCGGTCTTTTTTTTTTAATCAGTCAATTTAAAAATTTTTTATTTTTAAAGTAATTAACAGCGGAGAATAATGCGTTTGGCAGCACAGGGCCTGGCCTATGGTATGTGCTCAGTGTGTGTGTGTGTGTGTGTGTGCGCGCGCGCTGAGAATGGATGAATAAATGAATGAGTGAGTGAGTGAATGGGCAGTTCTTCCGCATTTGGCCACAGCCCGCATTTGGTCACTGTGATTTACAGAAAGGCACGGACTTGTTACGTGAGTCCAGGGTGAGGGCTTGATTCTTCTCACTGGGCTTCTGTCCTCTACAGAGGCCCCCCAGGAGGTGCTGCTACATCTGCAGGTGGAAGAGACCCGGTCAGGGGAGGCCGAGGTGGTCCTGCAGGCCTCTGGGTGCCCCGCACCCTCTCGAGCTGCCTGGGCTCGGGACGGCAGGCCCCTGGCGCCAGGAGGTGGGGGTCGCCTGCGGCTCAGCCGGGATGGCCGCAGACTCCTCATTGGCAACTTCAGCCTGGACTGGGACCTGGGAAATTACTCCGTGCTGTGCAGCGGGGTGCTGGGTGCCGGGGGTGACCAGATCACCCTCATCGGTGAGCCTCAACCTTTCCCAAAGCCCTAACTTTCAAGTCCCCAAGGCCCCGCCCTAAAACCCAGGCGACCGGCCTCCAGCCCCTCTTCCCGCAGACCCAGGGGGCCAGGCCCCCAGGCCCCTTCCTTCTCCCACGCAGACCCCAGCATCCTGCCGCAGCTCCCCTTCTTCCTCCAGGCCCTTCCATCGCCTCATGGAGGCTGCAGAGAGCCCGAGACGCAGCAGTGCTGACTTGGGATGTGGAGCGCGGTGCCCTGATCAGCGGCTTTGAGATCCAGGCGTGGACAGAGGGGGCCGACCGCAGCAGAGCCGTCGGTTACAGGGACTGGATCTCCCTGCTTGTGCTGGGACCTCGGGAGCGGTCAGCCGTGGTGTCCCTGCCCCCTCGGAGCCCCAGGACCTGGGCTTTGCGCATCCTGCCCATTCTGGGAACCCAAGCAGGGACCCCATCTCAAAGCCGACTCTACCAGGGAGGTGAGCTGGGGCGTGGGCACCTTGCCCTGGGCTTCTCTTAGTGCTCTGACCGGTCCCTGTAGGCTGGCGTGTTGGGTCTCCCTGCCCCCCTCTCATAGTGCTGGAACAATTACCTCGACCTTGGAGGCTTGGAACAACGGAAGCATATTGTGTCACGGCTGGAGGACACAAGTCTGATAGGAAGGTGTTATCAAAGCCGGGCTCTTCTGAGATTCTGGGTGGACTCCGCCCTTGTCTCTTTGTGGCTTCTGGTGGTGGCTGTCCGATCTTGGTGTCCCTCAGCTGCATGCAGGGGACTCCAGTCTCCGCCTGCAGCTTTCTCATGGCCTTCTCCTCCCTCTGTGAGTCTCTGTCCTCTTCTGATAAGGACACGTGCGACAGGGTCCATGCTGAGCTGATGACCTGACTTCGACTTTGTTACATTTCAAAGACCTTATTCCAAAATAAGGCCACATTCACAGGTACAGAGGATTAGCACCTCAATGTGAAATTTAACTTCTGCATGGTGGAATGTCTCAGGTGGTAGCCATTGAACTGGCGTTTGTCCCCAGGGAGATCTTGTGCGGACTGATGGCCTTCGAGGTCACTAATGTTCAGATGACCCCAAATGATTTATCCCCAGCCCTGACCTCTTCCTGGAACTCCAGATCTTGAATAGGCAAATCCCTACCTGACATCTTACTTGGGTGTCCCACTGGCATCTTAACGTGACATATCCAAAATAGACCCTTTGATGTTTCCTCTGCAAAACCGGACCCCCACCCGCCAGTCTTGCCCGTCCTGCTGAATGGCGCCACTCATGTTCCCCAAATCACCCCTTGACATCCCAGGTACCTGCAGGTTGGGTCGGTTTACTTTCCAAGATGCTTTTCCCAATCCCTTCTCTTCTTTCCACTTTCACGGCATCCTCTTTTGCCTGGAGAACAGCAGCCATGTGCCTGGCCTCTGCACCCTTCCTCTTCGCTAATCCATCCTCTAGGTAGAAGCCAAAGTAAGGAAGTCAGATCATGAGGCTGTTCCACTAAAACCCACACCCTCCAAGAACTCCTAGAGCCCTCTCCAGGACCTGGCCCCTGGTATCACACTAACTTCATCCTCTGCCTCTTGCCTCGTCCCATGTCCTCCACCCACACTGGTCTCCATCGGACACCATAAACTCCTTCCTAGCTCTGAGCCTTTGCATTTGCTGTTCGCTCTCCTTGGGACACCATCCCCCAGGTTTGGCCTGACTGGCTTCTTCGGATCCCTGCTCACTGCTTTTGGAATATTCTCCTCCTCTCCCCTCCGCTCCTATTATTTCTCTCAGTACCAGCTGTAATTATTTTACCTGTTGCTTGTTTATTTCTGCCTCCTCTCTTGGAGCTAATGCCCACAGAGGTGGGTATCTTGCCTGTTTTGCCCGCCAGTGGAATCTCACCATCTGGCCTAGTGCCAGGCACACAGAGTCACTCGGTAAATGCTAAATGAACCAAGAGTGCTGGTGTCCTACATTCTAGGTTCCGAGAATTCGCAGGGGGCCTGGACTCCTCTGTCCCCACAACAGGATGGATCAGGACCTAGGAGACTGGGGTCCAGCCTCTATCCTTCTCCCTTATGTCCCTCCCGTCTGTCTCTGCCAGGTCCCGTCCTGGGCCCCGGGGCCATCGCTGGCATCGTCCTGGGCTCTCTGTTAGGCTTGGCCCTGCTGGTCACACTCATTCTCCTGTGCGTCTGCTGCCTGCTGCGTTTTAGAGGTGAGTGAGGGTTCTGGGGAAGACGCCAATTGGGAGGGTCCCTAGAAGAGGCCGGTCAGAGACCTGGCTGAGCCAATCAGCGCAATCATAGGTCATCCGCTCCGCCTTCCTGCCTCTATATCAGCCAATCACAGCAAGGCCCCACCTCTCAGGCCAGCTTTCCTTACTATTGGCTGATCAGCAGCCACTCAAATGTTCCCTTCCCTCTTTTCTCCTTCCCAGGAAAGTCTCCTAATTTGAAAAAGAAGTATCCTCCAACCTTGGCGCCTGTAGTCATCCCACCAGCAAAAAAGACGCAGGGTGTTGTGACCCCAGTGCAGACTCCACAGCTGCTGCCTTTTAAATTTCCACTGGAAGACCCCAGCCCAGCCAGGCCCCAGCCAGTAAGTGCAGTGCCCCCACTTCCTCCGGAATAAGGGCAGAATTTATTTATTTATTTATTTATTTATTTATTTATTTATTTATTTATTTTTAATTTTAAAGAATAAAAGAAGGATAACATAATAATAGGGGGGACTTAGCAAATTACAGACAAAATGGTAGGAAATTATCAATGGTTATCATTTTACATATTATTGTCTACAAAATAGTTTCTCAGGAAAACAAATAGACAAATAATAGTGAGTTAGAGACAAAAGAGGTAGGAGATTATCAAGAGTTGTTGTACTATACTTTGGTATCTTCAAAGTGGCTTCTAAGGAAAATAAATAGAGCTATACATGAGTGACCTATTGAAAAATCATTAACTATTCTCAATGGTTGTTGTAGGAAACACATAATAATAAACAGACATCCATTTATGAAATAGGATAGGAGCATTACAAACTTTACACAGTTATGGATAGATTAGTAGGAAAATATCAATGGCTGCTGTAATACGTGGTGGTATCTTCAATATGGTTTCTCAGGAAGACAGAGATATGCAAGAGGGACCTATTAAGTAGTTACAGCCTAAGGGTTGTCAAAAATAGCATATTACCTCCTCACCAGTGACTCCTGTCACTGAGGTGTGATGGCTGGAAGGAAGGTCAGGATTGAGAAGAAGGACTGAGAGACTTGCACCTGTGTCTAGCAACAGGCTGTTTTCTTGTTCCTCCATAGTCATGATTACCCAGGGCTCCTCGATGGAGATGACGGTCTGGCCAGAGGGAGAAGGCAGACCATGCCCCAAGCCCTCTCATTCCTGTTGGAGTAACTGGTAGCATGGGTCTGAGCTCTGGGGCCTCCACCTCAGAGGGCAGACCGATCTCCAGTGGTCTCCTTTGCATCCAGGGCATGGCCCATGGGGCCTCTTAGGGCAGTTAGAATTTATTATATAGTCAGAGAGAGGTGATGTTTTCGGTGCCCTTCTTTTACTTGTTAGTTTGCAAAGGTGATAAAACTTTGTCCTTCTATTTAAAAATACATAAACTGGACAGAAGCCAGGCATGGTGGTACACACTTACACTCCTAGCACTCTGGAAGGCTGAGGCAGGAGGGTCACAAAATCCAGCCCAGCCTGGGCATCTTAGTGACTTAGTGAGACTCTGCCTCAAAATAAAAAATAAAAAGGGCTAGGGATGTAGTTCATAAAAATTGGGTAAGATTTCCATTTTTCTCTCTAAGGCAGTACGGAAATTGGGTTGTGGTCTACCTTAGTTCTCCTAGGGATAGCTTAATATTTTTCTTCTGGAAAACCAGTGGGATCAGCTAGTATTGGAAAGGTTTGAGCTACAGGTGGAGAAGGTGAGATGGATGAATCAAGTCATGTCCAGGTTGCCTCCTGAGGTCACCCCTCCCCTGCCTCTCTTCCAGGCCACTGGCCCCAAGACCCCCAGGATGGTTGTCTCTCCAACCAGGGGCCCCAGAACTGTCCGGACAGCCACACAGGTGTGATCCGTGCCGGGAGCCCACTCTCCACTGGGAATTTGGGGCCAAGATTTCTTGTTTCGCCCAAACGGCAGGTAGGGCCTGCAGTGACTGGGAGTTGGACCTCAAAAGTGAGACTTTCTATGTTCCTGTCATTGGAGAAGATTCAACCTGTATTTGTACAGCTAAGCAGTGTGGTCTACACAACATCAGAGGCCAGCGTGCTGCGCTGCTCTGCCTGGAGGGGGAACCTGGCTTTAGGTCTCCAGCTTCACTTTGCTGCCCCTGCTTCTGGCTGGGCTCCCAGAGACTGCATCATAAGACAGATCAGACCCCTCCCTCGTCTCTCTCAACATTCTAGGGCTACATGCCGCCCTTTGGGTCTTATCCAAACCCACTTCCCGACCTGCAGGGTCTCATGGCTTGGCCTGTGCTGGCTGCCGTAACCTCCCTTCTCAGCGCTGACCTGTCTTCGTCCATATGGGCTTATTCTTAGCCACGCTGTGTCCCCCAGGGCTTGGCCTGGACGCTTTTCCTGTCATTCACTTAACAAGTTCAAGGCAGCCCCGCCCATCCCAGGACACCTTTTCCTTCACCTTGGTCGTAGGTCGAGTCCCAGCACCCCTGAACTTCCCCCTCCTTGTCTGCAGATTCGAAATTCCTTGTGTAGCTCAGATCCACTCGATCGACAGATCTTCACGAAGACACAAACCACACTGTTATCTCAGCACTTAACACAGGGCCTGGCGCACACCAGACAATCCATACACATTTGCTGATTGATCAAGCATTTGTGGTGCCAGTCAAGAGTGAGGCTGCCTGTGCTCTCCCCCACATGATACCTGCCTGCTTCCACAGGGTTTCCCACTGAGAATTTAGGGGGTACACTAGTGAGGATTCTTCTGACAGCAAGAAACAAAAGAAATGGTGATAAGAAATATAAAGATATATGGCTTCACCCTGTCTCAGCAACTCACTGGCTCCACCCAGGACCTAGACCCTTTGAATCCTTCTGCTTGACCACTTTTTAGTGGGCTGGCGTATTTTGTCCATGTGTTGTTGCCTCCTGTAGCAAAATGGCTGCTGCAGTTCCGGTTGTCACATCTTCACATAACAGTATCCAAAGACAAAAGGAAGGGGGCTAGGCTATAAAAACACATCTCTTCCTTCTCCCTGTCCCTCCTTTCTGAGAGAGAGAGAGAGAGAGAGAGAGAGAGGAAGGGAAGGAAGCTGACTTTCCTGGAAGTCTACCAGCCAACTTTGCTTCATATCTTTGGCTACAACTGCCCAGAGAGTGGCTAAGAAGGCCGGGAAACTAAATATTCCAGTCTGTGTCACTGCAGGTGGGTCGGCTAGCAAAGACGAAAGAAGCAGCAAATAAAGTGTAGGCGAGCTGCATGTGTCTCGGGGCAGGAAAGGAGAGGTAGCTACCAGTTAAAAGTTAGGGATGGGGAGACAACGGAAAGTACAGCCCCAGACCTTTTTGGAGTCGGGTGCCTGAGCCCCCTGAGCCCCTTGCCCTCGCGGGTATCAGGCAATTTCCATTTCCTTTGGGTCACCAGAGACAGAAAACCAGACACACACGGGGTGCACACACATGACACTTTATTGCTTGTGTAAGTGGAGAACGGCATCAGGTACACTTTGATCCAGCTGCACAAATGGCGTCCCAGAGACTCAGATTCTCAGCCCTTCTGTTCTGCTTTCTGAGTTGCCGCTTAATCTCAGCCTCATACACCGTCTTCCCGGCCATCGCAGTCCGCCAGACTGGAGACTTCTCGGCCGGGCAGACGAAGGCCGCCTCCTCGGAGCCCCACCACCCACAGAAGGGTGTCCCTTCTTGCAGTCTGCGCCCTCTCATTGGCCTGACCAAGTGTAGGTCCACGTCTGAGCCAATCACGGAGGAAAGAGGCTCTGCTGAGTGGCTTAAGCCAATCAGGGGCCGGATTTGTAATGGGCCGATTCCAAATCTACCCAAGAGAGAGGGGGCAGGAAGGAAGCTGGGGTGGGTGCCACCACATGACCTACCCTCGGATCTCCAGTCACCCGACTCTTAACCACACTGAATCTGTAAGCAGAGACTTTGGAAAAAGGCGTTTATTGGTGTGGTGGTCTCAACACTCCCCATGAATTGGAACACACGGCCCCCAGGGCCCCCGCCCCCCTCCCCGCGCCCCTCCCCCGCCCTGCCCGGTCCCCTGGACCCTGGGAATGGAAGACAATGTGTGATGGGGCCCACGCCCCCGTCTGAGGTACAGTCACTGCCCCGCGCCCCCTCTGCCCTCGAAGCCACCACGCCGCGGGTGGGGTAGTTCCGGGTGGGTGGTTATACGGGGTCTCCGGGGAGTCGGGGCTGGTGACATGGCGACTCTGCCTGGGCTCCGGGCGTCTGTGTGACACCCTCCCCGCTGCTCGGTGTGGTGTGGCGTGCCAGGGCTGCGTACCGGGCCCTCGGAGCTGAGGCCAGTCTCACAACGTCCCTTCCCGAAGACAGTGCCCTCCTTGGGGGCGCCACGGCTGGACACCAGCTACAGGGCAGCTGGAGCCAGGGCTACTGCTGTCACTCACGAGTGTGTGCCTGTGCGCGCGCGCGTGTGAGGGCGGTCAGGTCGGCCTGCGGGGGGACACTGTGTGGAGAGGCGCGCCGCCCAGGGCTGTGGGCCAGCTGCAGGGACCCTGGGGCAGCTGGCTGGCGCTGCAGGTGGCCGAGGGTAGGGTGTGGCAGGGGGGCGAAGCACTGGGACAGAAAGGCGGCTACTGCCACCAGCCTGACAGTTGGGTGGAAGCACCGATTGGCCCGGGAGGGGGCCAGAAAGTCCAGGGTTGGGACGCAAGGAAGAGGGGAGGTCTCAGGCCACTGCGCCAGGGATGAGGCCTCCGGCCGCAGGCAGCTGGTGTACAGCAGGGAGGGACGGAACCACGGGAGCCGCGATGGAGGTCCTCACTGAGTCACAAAGGCTGGGTGACGGGAGGTGACAGCCCACCCCGCTCCCAACCTGCCCCGCGGTGCAGCTGGACGGGGCCGATGGGTCGGTGCCGGGCTCCGGGAGCCTGAAGCACCCACGCCTAGGGGACGCCTGCAGGGCCGGGCAGGGGCGTGGGGGGAGGCGGGGGCACGCTCCCCTCCCAGCGCACTCCCACACAAACGTACACACACGTGCGGGCGCACGCTCACACACCCACGCACACACGAGCCAGGAGAGGGGTGTGGGGCGGCCGGGGCTGGGTCACGTCGAAAGGTGAACGGGTGGCGGTGGCGAGAATGGCTGTAGAAAGATGCATAATTTTGCGTTATCCCTCACAGTGACGGGTTCTCCGAAGGTCTTTCCTCCTCCTCCTCCTCCTCCTCCTCCTCCTCGAGTGACTGAGAGCTCTTCCGCCCCCTCGAGACCCACAGCGCTCGCTCCCCCTCTTCCTCTTGCTCTGGCCCGAGGCCCCCTGGGGGGAGGCGCCCTGCACTGGCCGCGCCTACATCCTCCACCACAGCCAGCCCAGGGCAGAGAGCAGGGCCAGGGGCCCCGGGGGCCTCGGGGCTGAGTTCTCCAGGGATCCGGGGCCTGGGGAAAGAGAAGAGGGCGCGGTTGAGGGCCAGCGATGGGGGAGCGCGTCCAGTGGCTGTGCCTGCTCTCCCCGTCAGTCTCCAAGGGTCTATTTCCTTCGTTTTGTTTTGGTACTGGGGATGGAGCCCAGGGCCTTTGCACTGAGCTGCATCTCCAGCCCTTTTCTGTTTTTGGAGAGAGGGTCTTGCTAAGTTGCTCAGCCTCCCAGGGCGCTGGGGTTGCAGGTGTGAACCGCGTGCCTGGCCCCGAGGGTCTCTTGCGGGCAGTTCTCTGTGGGCCTTTCTGGAGTTTCATTCTGTGTGCCTGTTTTTCTGTTTTGAGTCTTACATCCTCTCCACTTTGCTTTCACTGTTTTGCTTCGCTCTAAACTCTCAGTGTTTGTCCGTCTGTCTGTCTGGCACTTCCACCTGCATTTTATCCCCAGCTTGTCCAAAACTGCTCTGGCCTTCTCTGCCGCATGCTGCTGCCCTCCCCTCAATCCTGTACAACGCAGTCCCTACACGGCTGTGCGGTCCTGAGCTCCGCCTTCTTGGGCCGCAGATGTTTTCAGTGGCTCTTCCGGGTCCCCCTGACCTCTTCGCTGTGATTTTGCAAATGCCCTTCCAAATCCAAGCTGGGGTTCGTTTTTTCTACCTTTTCTTTTCTTTTTTCCTTTCTTCTGGTACTGGGCATGGACCCCTGGGGCACTCTCCCACTGAGCTACCTGCTCAGCCCTTTTTATGTTTTATTTTGAGATAAGGTCTCCCTAAATTGACTGGGCCGGCCTCAAACTTGACATCCTCCTATCTCAGCCTCCCCAGTAGCCGGGTGGGTAGGTGTGCGCCCCACAGTCGGCCCGCGTTGATTTCCTGTCTCAGCTGAAATGCTGCTTCCTCCAGGAAGCGTCCTCCGATGGCCTTACCTGATCACTAGCACCCCCAAACGTCTCTTTTCTCTCTAGCTGTTCCGGATGCGCAGTTATATTTTGTTCATGTGTGTGTCTATTTGCTTACTTACCTGCGCGTCCATTTTATTGCTCTTCTAGCACTGGGTTATAAGCTCTGCGAGTCCCCAAACTGTGTCACTGCTGCGTCCCCAGATCCCTTCGCGGGTGCTCGGTGAATACTGATTAAGCGGATCGCTTTCCCTGCTCCGTCGCATTACTGGACTCAGCGTCCGTGTCTCTCCTACCCTGGGGGTCAGTCGGGGGTGGCCCTGCGCCCCCCCCACCCCACCCGGGCCCACCCGCGGACGCACGCAGGAGCCGCATGGAGGCGCTGGACGCTCCGAGCCGGTTGGCGGCACGACAGGTGTAGTTGCCGTAGTGCCGGGCGCTCACGTTGGCGAAGAGGAGCATGGAGCGGGTGCGCTCGGTCTGCACCTTCAGGCCCTCTGCCGCGCCGCTGCTCAGCCTGCGGGACGGGGTCGGGGTCGGGCCGGGCACCCCTCGGTGCGGCGCCCGGCACCCTCACTTTCCGGGGAGGCCTAGCATGGGTTCTAGACCCGCCCTCGGGGACCCCGGCTCCAGGCACCACGCCCCCTCCGCGACTGCGGGCGCTCCCATCCCCAGGGGGCTCCCTAATCCAGCACCAGAAAATTCCGGGGAGACGCGCCCCAGCGCTCGTCCTGGGGCCCGAGCCAGCGTCTCCGGGCTCGCGCACCCCACGGCCTGGAGCCCACCCGAGCTCTGAGACTGCGCGCTCCCGCCGCCCCTGCCGCCCCTCCCGCTCCCCGGGGCCGTCCTCACAGTCTGTCGTCCTTGTACCACTGGAAGTCGGCGGGCGGCACGGCCATGGCTTCGCAGCGCAGGAGCGCGGCCCGGCCCAGGGCGGTGCGCGCGCTGGTCACGTCCGTGATGGTCGGCGGATCTGGCGAGGGGCGAGGGTCAGCGAGGGCTGCGCAGCCACCCTCCCGCCGGCCCGTCCGCCGCGGCTCCCGCCCCTCCGCCCCTCTCCCCGGCGCGCCCCCTTCCGCGCCCAGGGCCGGGGCTCACAGTTGACTGTGACCAGCACGCGGCGGCTGTCGGGCGCCGAGTTCACCCCGTTGTGAGTCACGCACTCGTACTCCCCCGCCTGGCCGCGCTGGATGTCGGAAATCTCCAGGATCTCGCCCTCAGAGGTGAAGCCGTCTGTGGGGGAAGGGGGGGGAGGGGGAGGGGCCGGACACAAACACTTAACACGGGACAACACGGGCAGCACAACGGGACACACATCAGCGGGGCCGGCACTGCAGCGCCTGGAGTGCCCGGGTCAGCGGAAGCCGAGGGGGCTGCGGGGTGGGCAAGGAATGAGCAGCGGGGCTTAGGACCTGGAGCCCGGGGGTGGGGGTGGGGGGTCCTGGAATGTGGGATTCAGGAGATCCAGGGATCTGGGATCTCTGAGCATGGTGCTCAGGATTCCCAACGGGGAGGAGAATCCCAAGATCGTGGATCTCAGAAGGATCCAGGAAATAAAGGCCCGCTGGGGAGAGTCCAGAGTTCCGGGATCAAGCTCTTAGGTCCAGAGAACTAAGATCTGTGGCCTCAGGGGATCAAGTTTTCACAGGGACCTAGTGACTGGCACTCCGGGTCTCCTCAGATGCAGGGAGTAGGGATCAGAGCCTTGGGATCTTGTGTGGGGGGGTCAGGTAAAGGGTCGGGGGCTGGAGTGGTGGCCCTAAGCGGTCACGTTCAGGCTCCCTGCACTGTGTCTGTGGACCTGTCAGCAGTGGCTCTCAGGGTCATGAAAACACACGGGTGGGGGTGGAAGGAGCTCCTGATTTTCTCGGGGTCTGGGCTGGGGCCTGAGCATGCGCATTTCTGGCAGTGCACCCTCCCAGGGGAGGCTGATGCTGGCGCCTGGGGACCTGCTGGGCTACAGCATCCAGCAGGGGAGGTGGGAGTGTGAGTCAGAGACGGGACTGTGGCCAGAACCCGGCTGCAGCTGCGCTTGGGGTGCCCGGTGGTGGGACGCCAAGGAAGGAAAGGGGTTCCTCATGGGCGATTTGGAAAACCCAGCAAGGGTCTGAGAGGCAGGTGGAAGCCGGTGGTGAAGGCTCTGTCTGGGGTCTGCTGATGAGGGCCGGGGAAACGGGGGGTGCATGGAGTCTCCGGAATGGCGGGCGGGGCTCAGGAATCCAGCTCAGGACAGGGGAGTGGAGGGGCGCAGACTGCAGGGTAGGGCAAGGGCGTTCTGTCTGGGGTGGGGTCCTCACCTCGGAGCTGCCTCCAGGTGACCGTTGGCTCCGGCCGCCCCACGGCCAGACAAAGCAAGTTCACGTTGCCCCCCTCATTCACTGTCACAGGGGAGGAGATGTTCACGATGCGGGCGGGGACTGCGGGCAGGGAGGGAGGTCAGGGGAGGCTGGAGGTGCCCTCTCGGGGTCCGGCCCAGCCCGCTCCCTCCGACCCCGGGGTCCGCGCCTGGCCCTCCTCCTCCCTCAGACCCGGGGTCTGGCCCGCCTCCTCCCTCAGACCAGGTGTGGGCTGACACTCAGTCCGCCCTTACAGCCCCCTGTGTTTGTCACCTCCCTTTTTGCCGTGTGCTCTGCCTCTGCATGGGCTTCGCTCCTTGTCTAATTTCTGGCCGTGCTGAAGTCTGTGTCTTTCTCTCCTTCATCCCAACTTGCTTTCACTGTCTTCTGGTCTGAATTCCTATCTCCCTGTCTCTCTTTTTGTTTACCATTATTTTAAAATTAATGTACTTAACACATACCCATATGGCACTTTCTATGTGGCAGATTCTGTGCTAAGCGCTCTGTAAAAATCCATTCATTATTTTCTTCCTCGCTGTCCTAGGCTGGACATTACTGTCTAAGACGTGTGTTGGATTTTTTTCCCCTCTTTCATTTGGGCTTCTCACTCATGGCGACCTTGTGACCCAGGGTGCCACAGTTTCTTTTCTTTTTTTTGTCTTTTCTTCCAGTACCAGGAATCGAACTCACGACCTTGCGCTTGCCAGGCAGGCGCTGTGCCGCTGAGCTAAATCCCCAGCCCCTGGGTGCCACAGTTTAATTGGCAGAGACTTTTCTCCTTTCCCAGTAGAGCATGAAACACAGGCGCCCCCTGACTGACGCTCTCCGGAATTTGAGGAGAGACAGCACCATCCCCCTTTGATTTCCAGGCCAAGGAGCCCAAGGGAGAGCTCTGCTTGCCTGGGGAGCCTGGCTGGTGAGGGTCATCGCTGAGGCTGGACCGGGGTGGCCTGGCTCCCGCGCTGCTGCTAATGGTGACCCCAGTGGGTGCTCTCCGTGTTCGCGTTCTGTCTCTCTGGGTGCTCCCCGCACCCCAGCCCACCTCTGCTTCCCTGTGAAGTGGTTTCTGAGCTTTGTCTCCCCACCCCTCGGAAGCCCAGCCTCTCTGTGGGTCCTTGCGGCTCCATCTCTTCCTCTGAATTCCATTCCTTTCATTCCCCTCCTCCCCTCCCCGCTTCTTTCCTGTTTTATTGGGAGGGGGTTGCTTCCACAGCTCTGCACACAGCCGAAGTCCCAGGCCTTTGAGCTTCCAGCGGGGAGGGACGGCCTGCCTCGCTCACTGCATATCCTCAGTGCAATCCCTGCGTGTGGTGGCACTGCACAGATGCACGCGGCCCTCCTCTGAGCGCCCCTCTGCCCGGTGCTTTCCTGCCTAGAGACTGTCACCCCGACTAGCACAGCCTGAGTATCACTGTCCTGTGGTTTCGTGTGTCTGCTTGGCAGAAATCCGTCCTCCATGGATGCGTTCCCAGGAGCGAGGGCCGCACTGGGGAGTGCATGCCGCGTGGGGGAGTCCGCAGGGACGCCCACCGTGCAGTGCGTAGTTGCTGTGCCCAGCGCCGCGTCGCTGCGCCTTCGCTCCCCACCCGGCCGCCCGCCCTGCTCACCGTGGACGATGAGGTAGACCTGAGTGGTGTACGGCTGGTGGCGGGTCTGGAAGGAGCAGGTGTAGAGGCCCTCGTCGCCCAGCCCCACCTGGGTGATGAGGATGGAGAACTCCTCGGGCGTGTTGATGAGCAGCCGCACGCGGGGGTCGCTGGTCCAGCGGTCGTTGCCGGCGTACAGGATGTTGGAGCGGTTCAGCCAGGCCACGCGGGTCACGTGCTCGTCGATAAAGCAGCTGGGGGAAGGAGGGGTTACCATTAGGGTCACACCTCCGGGTCCCACAGCAGTCCTGAGGGGCAGACTATTGTGGGCGCTGTGCTGGTGGGTAAACTGAGTCTCAGCCGGAGAGCGGCGGCTCAGGGCTACCACGGCCCATAGCTGGAGGTGGGACCCTCGGCAGGAAGTGCGTCACACGCCCTCCCACGCCAGCCCCCAGCCAAGCCCAGGACCGCTGGGCTGTGCCATGCCTGCGCTGCTGACCCACATACCTGAGGGTGGCGTTGTCGCCTTCGCACACGGTGTAGTTGTCGGCGGGGGAGCTGAACTCCAGGCTCTGTGACAGCAGCCCTGTGGGAGGGAGGTCTCAGTCTGGTGGCAGAGGCGGGCACGGCAGAGACTGCAAACGCAGGCACACGTGTGCGCACACCCCAGGGACACGGACACCTTCCACACCTACCGCCACACGCGTTCACGGATGTTTGCAGAGATACACATACAGCAGTCACACTCAGCCTGGGCCTCTTCCTGGGCCTTTATGGACTCACAGACAGACGCGGGGAGCGGGGATGCAGGACACGCAGACTGTAGACCTCCAGGACACGAGACAGTACCCCAAGGCACAGAGACACACATGAACAGACCTGTGCGTGGACACACGTACACAGAAATGCACACGCACACAGAGGCACATCCACATAGATACATGAGCAGATACATGCACAAGACATGTGTATGTGTGAGAAGCACACACGTGTGCAGGCAGACATACACAGACACGTGTGCACAGAACACACACCTGTTCACAGTACTGTGCAGGGTCACAGATCGACAGGCAGACCCACAGTTCCACGGAGGCACACACATCTGCACGGACAGTCACACAGACATACATTTGCATGTGCAGACACCCAGGGACAGGTATGTGTACACCCAGACACCTGCGTACAAGGATGCACACACACACACACATACAAATCCATAAAACATATGTATTCACACACACATCCATGCATGCGCAGATTGGTGTGTATGTGGCATACATACATGCACACAGAAACACAGAAGAAACGTGTACAGATTCACATACATACACACACATTCATTCAGAAATAGGCTGATAGACATGCATGCACACAGACACGGCGCACAGTCACACACGCCTTTGCACACACATCTGCTCGACCCACCACGCGCCTCCCCCACAGTTACGTTGCAGACCCGTGCCCACGCCCGCTGCGCACTCCAGCACCGCCCGCAGGCCCACCGCCCCCACCGTTCATCTCTCCGTGGACTGTGGCCAGCAGGCTGGCCCAGGGCCAGGGGCGGGGGCTGGGCCTGCAGAGCGGAGAGGGAGGGAGGCCAGCCAGATGACCTTGGGCGCCTGGAGCGGGAGGCCCTGCGCAGGCTGCCCTGCCCCCCGCCTGGGAAGAGGAGCTAATTAATCTAATGAATTAATTGCCCGTGCTGCCCCAACGACTCCCAGGGGCCTCTCCATCAGCAGCCCCTCAGGACGGGGCGGGACAGGACCAGCTGCAGTGGGCTGGCCAGGGCCTGGAGTGGGGCTGGGCCCTGTGCCCCTCAGTCCGGGCTCACCCAGGCAGGAAATCGCCCCAGATTCAGCCCAGCTCACCCGGGCAGGAAACAGCTCCAGATTCCTGGTACCACACACAGCTGTGGCCCGGCGCAGAGGGACACGACATGCACACGCAGTCACAGTGACACCCACAGACCCAGAGGCATGCCCAGCAGAAGGTCAACTGGAAGAGACAGCTGTCTCCCAGGAGCAGACTGTCACGCCCAGCCACAGAGCGACAGTCCCCAGCCAAGCAGCACCCGCACTCTGATCACCCCGCCGGACAGCACCGCTTCTCACATGATTTTAGTGACACTAACGTCCCCACGCGCAGCTGCACCGCCAGTGGGTGGACACACACACACACACACACACACACACACACACAAAGTCCCCTACTAGAAGGTCCTGGTCCCACCTCCGCTACTCCGTCACTCTCCTCAAACACAAAGGGGAGCCCTGGGCTGAGAATCAGGTGCACAAAGTCATGCTGTCACCTATGATCAGAGCACACATGGCCAGACACACATGCGCGTGCTCGCACGCACACACCGAGCCAGAAAGTCCCGTCCAGAAAGATTTGCCCGGGCTGAAGGGCAGTCGGGGACTGTGCCACCCAGTTCTGTGGAATACTCACGTGTGGGCATGAGGATCCCTTCATGGACAAGACAGATAGGCTGGCATGCCCTCAGGATCTGTCAAGCTCCTGCGACTGAAGCGCTAGGCTAGGGGTCCCCAATCTTGGCTGGGTTGGCGTTTGGGGCCAGTAGGTCTGGGGAGCTGTAGGGTGTTTGGCAGCGTCCCTGGTCTAGACTCACATGATGCCAGTAGCTGCCCACACCACCGTGATGATAATCAGACCCCTCTACCCACAAGAAAGGGAGCCCCTGAACTGGGAGTGGTGCTGCACGCCTGTAATCCTGGCCCTCTAGGAGGCTGAGGCAGGCGGATTGTGATGCAAGCCCCGCCTGGGCACTTTAGCAAGACCCCGTCTCAAAGAAAAGCGCTAGAGATGGAGCTCAGTGTGAAAGTGCTGGGTTCCACCCCTAGTATCAATTAAAAACAAAACCAAAGCAGAGAGGAACCTCTCAGGCAGGAGGAGGAGCTGTCCAAGGTCCCGGGCTGGGACATGTGGGGCTCCCGAACTCAGCACCACCTAGCAGAGCCGAGGCCACAAACCAGGGCCAGGGGGCAGGGTGTGGCCCCCAGAAGTGGGTAGACACACACTCTTGACACCAGAACCTTTCTGACCCTCAGGGCAGACATGCCCTGGGCCCTCAGCCTGGTGCCTGCCTGGGCCCGGACATCCACCTCATCACCGCTGCTCATGCATGGCACAGCCCTGTGTTTCCCTCTTCTCCTGTACCTGCTGCTGGGGAAACCCTCTCCTGCCCCAGGCACCTAGTGCAAGAGGCTGCCCAGATGCCCAGGAGAGCTCTGCCCTTTCCTGAAGCCCAGACCTCAGGCACCTCAGGGTTGGTCCTGGCTCACGGGCAGCCCCTGTAGGCATGGAACAAGCAAGTCCACCCCTCCAGGGGCCTGGGTGCCTGCTCTGTGCTTCTATGCATTTTAATGTCCTGGACCATCATCTGAAAATCACCAGACCCCAGGATCAGGAAGCCGCCTCTTGCTGTGTGACCTTGGGCAACTCCCTGCCCCTCTCTGGGCTTCAGTCAGTGCGGGTGGGGCAAGGTTAACCACTCTGGTTCAGGGCTAACCTTTTCTTTTTTGGCAGTACTGGAGAGTGAACTTAGGAAGCACTGAGCTACACCCTCAGCCCTTTATTTTCTATTTTGAGACAAGTTCTAAGTGGCTGAGGCTGGGCTCAAACTTGCAACCCTCCTGCCTCGGCCTCCTGAATAGTGAAGGTTACAAGCACGTGCTACCACACTCAGCCAGGGCTGACCTTCCTAAGAATCCACGATCCTCTCAGTTCCTGGGCTTGACACCTTCCTGTCTCGGCCCTGGTCACCCCGGACTGTCAAGGCCCTCCCCTGTGGCCCCAGGCCCTTCATGTATCCATAACCAGATGCACTCTCAGAATTCCAGGCCTGGTTTCTGCTCCCACAGTGCTTGGACCTCTTCCCTTAGAGTTTGGGTCACGTGGTGATGTGCTCCTCCTCAGCTGACTAGAAGTTCCTTGAGGGCGGGGCCCCGTTCTAACGCAGTTCTGTGTCCCCACCACCTCCCAGCACAGGGCCTGGCTCACTGGAGTCCTTGTTGATTGAATGAATATAAATGGAAGCCCGTGACACTCCTCACCTCTTGAACTCCTACTCAATCCTGAAGACCCCAATGTAAATGCCCCTCCCCCACCCAAGTCCTCCCTGACTCTTCAAAGCAGAGACCTGCCCCTTTGCTGGGCACCCTTGACTGGTTAAGGCAGGATGCCTCCCTCTCTGCTGTCTCCTTCACCTGGCCAGGAGCTCCCTCAAGGGCCTGATTCTTGGCCATGTGTCTCAAGGTTGGGCCCAGCTCCTAGCCGAGAAGTGTGTGTGGAGAAGGAATCGAAGGTCTTCAGACACTGGATAAAATCTCTCCAGGCCCTGGACTGGGAAACTGAATGTCTGCCTACTATTCCCTGCCTGGGTGCTGCCCTGGGCCTCAGTCTCCCCATCTGGAAAAAGTGAAAATTAAGTTTTCTGCAGGGATTTTTGAAGGATTCCCTGAGAACACACAAGCAAAGTGCTTAGCTAGGGGTTTGGCCACTGATCAGGCCCAACAGACGCCAGCTGCTCCTGACAGCACCTTTTTTCAAAGAATCATCTATCACTGTGCTATCCTGGCTTGGCGTCGGCCTCCCGGGTGGTGATCGGGGCTGAGACCGGGGTGCTGGCGGCTCCGAGTCAGTGCCTCCTGGAGATGCCCTGTAAGCATCTGCTCAGACAGCCCCGACCCAGCTCCCTAGGGCTCCCGTCCCGACCAGCAGGCCCTTACCAGGAGTAACGGTCCCTAAGACAGGAAGAGATCCCTGACAGAGCACGGGTGGGGGACAGGCTCCCATGGATCCCCCAAATGCAGCGCAGGGTGGGGAAGGACTGCTGCGTTTCCAGAGTCCTGGAAGCTACAGGCTGGGCAGGCCTTGGGGCCTGCAGAGTGTGAGTGTCTCACCCAGGGAGTTTGAGGCCTGACCAGGGGAGGCGTGGGGAGTGGGACAGCCCAGCCCTGGCTGCGAAGAGCAGAGGGGAGGCTGAGTCCCCAGTGGGCCCTGGCTCCTCCTCATCTTTGCTGAACTCTGAGGCCGTCACATCTACCCGTGACGTCAGCACCAGGGAGCCCAGACAACGGGCCCGGAGCCCGGAGCTGGACGCAGCGTTCTGAGACTTCCTTTGCTTCGGGGACCCTCGTGGCCTTCTCAAGGTCGCCCTCCCTTCCTCCCAGTGCTCCCTGCACTGTCTCCTGCCCAGGGTGGCATGCGCAGCCACCCACACTCTCGAGGAGCCAACTCGTCCCCCAGGCCACTCTTACTTCTGTTGTCACCGCCACTCCCTAAAATGGCCTATTTACTGTTTTGTGCATTAGATTTTGCAACTGGCTTTTGATCTCTCTCCGTCCCACTGTGATATAAGCTCCGCAGGGGCAGTAACTGGGTCTGGCTCACTCATGGCACTGTCTATCCAACTACTCACCTACCCACCCACCCACTCATCCATCCATCCACCCATCTACCCACTCACCCATCCAGCCACCCACCCACCCACTTATCCATCCATCTACCCACTCACCCATCCAGCCACCTGCCCATCTACCCACTCTTCCTTCCATCCATCCATCC